TCTGCCTTTTTTTTTTGCTTTGGTTCTGTTTTGGGTGGATATGCCAAGGTTTCTCCTGTTCGTTTTCTCACTTTAAGTGTGTCATTTGGTCATACTGGTGTCTTCATTCTAATGTTTATTAAAATGTTACTGTCACTGCCAGTCTGAGACTGTGAATCAGAACTAAGAATGTGTAATAGTTTATTTCACATTTGAGTAAATTTCTTTTACTACTTAAACACTATTATGGATAGTGTTGATGTGAGATGAAGTTTAGGTTTGGCGATACAGAATGCCACTAATTTGAGTCTTCTTTTATTGCCATCTGCTGTGGGTGTTACATCCACAACATTTTTTTTTTTTCTTTCCGAATCTCTTTTTGTGGTGATAGAGAATAAGCTGATGCATCTGGAAAGCATCTTTTCTTGGGCCATTCACTATATCGGCCTGTAGTGTATACTGCAATGCTCTCTTGCCTGAGTTGTTTTGATAAGTTGTGAAAAATCCACATTTTGCCTTTGCAGTGGTAGAGTACAAGGAGAACAGTATGACCACCTACACCAATCTCCTGAAAGGCAGGTGGTCCAGTGGTTAAAAGCTTTGTTAAATATAAATGTGCAATATCTATTTGTTGTGGATCTGATGGTAATTAAGCGTAATTTTTGAGGCAGTCATTGATGTAAGCCACTCTCCTTTTACTCCTCACTCAATACCTGTGTGAAGTGGGTTTAGCTTGCTGTCAAGTTGTACACCGCGATAATGGGCACTTGTTTTTTCTCCCAGCCATGCTGCATGGGTAGAGTGAAAGCACTGCAACTGCACGGATGCAGTGTGTGGAGCACAGGCCAGCTCCAGAACCGTTACCAACCTTTCTGTACTACTTGGAGCAGCTCTAAGTGAGTTTAATAATGAAGCAGCTGACAGTAGCTGATGGGGCTGTTGGCTTATCCTCACTGAGGTTTGCACCGCCTCCCAAGTTCTAGCAATGCTAGTAGCCACGGGGATACTTCATTAATTCCCAAGTAACATGATTTAAGCAACTGTCTTTATGCTGTTGGTGTTGTAGTTACTTAAAATACCAACATGTTTTGCCCTGTAAGCTACAAAATTCTTAAAATGGAAATCCTGTAGCTGCCAAGACACTTCACACAATGATAAAGGTTTAGGTCTCATGCAGGTTAACAGAGAGAAAACAGTGGTGATAGGACAGAAGTTCCACCATCCTTGCCTACCCACAATCTAACAGCATCTAGAAAGGGATACAAAAATGGCAACTGGTGCTCTAACTCTGCAGTGCATTTTAATACGCCGGAAAAAATTCCTGTCGCTGAATGTACTTACGTAGTGACCAAGCTGTTGCCTTCAGCTTGCCATTACATAAATAACGTCAAGTATCGTTTGGCCTTCATTTGTTATGCAAACCAAGTAATTTGTGAATGGCAACTGTGAAATGGCAGTGTTATTGGCCATTTCCATGAAAGAAATTACAGAAAAGATGTGCTAGGTAATAAGGGTAACATAAAAAATACAAAACTTAAACTAAATGCAAACACTTTACATTATGTTCAAGACAGCCTGATTCAAGTACCTTTCTTCTTTGTAATTTTCACACTTTTGTAAACCACCAGTTGTCTGCAAGAAACCTCCAAACTATCTGTGATTCATCATCAGTGGGGCTCATATGGATATGTGGGTAAAGGATGGGGAAATCTACCACAATACTCACCGTCTCCCAGTAGATCCACACATCTTCTCTCTCGCCTCTGGTTTTGTGCAGGTCACTTGAGAGTATAGATATCCGAGTACTTATTTTGGAAGGAAGGAATGATACCTTAAAGTACTGAAATGTTACTGAAGTTTTTGGAAGGATAGGCTAATCACATGAAAATAAAGTGCCTCCTAAGCTATATTTTTCAGAAAGTTTTATCCAACAAAAGATTTTTTTAAAAAGTTGATAGTGATAAATTCTCACTTTTGGTTTATTGGCAAACTGAAAGTGCTCAAGAAACATAATGCAAGAAGGCTGCCTCTTGTCCGGCTACCTCCACTCCTGTATGTATTGTACTTACTAAGTTAACATATAAAGCACCCCCTTTAGGTATCTCAAAGTTTCTTTAAAAACTGAATAATAATGAAGAGATTGAGTTTGGTGGGTTTGTCCCCAATGGCAGGGCCGTGGTGTGCCTCAGCTCTAGTGTCTGCACTGGCACTTCATTACCCTGACTGCTTGCTCTTAGTTCATCCAGACTTTCCTCCTGTTCCTATGATTCAAATAGAGCTTTTGTTTTCCTGGGGAAGAAGTTTTTTGTTCTGCCCCAGGTAAATCAGATTAAAGAAGAAGCTGCAGTCGGTGGATGGCCCTGTGGTTGTGCAGTTCTTGGTGTCGCGGTCAGGGCGGCACGTGGAGTGTTTTGCTCTCTCCCGGGAAGCGCAGCCCGAGCTCTGGAGCACAGAGCTGGATATCAACATTTCTTTTTCTGCCACTGTCAGTAACTAGCTCTGTGACCCCTCTGTCTGCCACTTTACACATATGGAAACATTTTTCCACCTTGCAAAGGTGTGGTGGGGTTTAATTTAATAACTTTATAAAGTGCTTTTTGATTCCCAACTGAAAGCTACTGTAGGAACTCAAAATACACTGATGAACCAGTACTGGGTATTTGTCAAACGGTTTCTTTGACAGTGATTTCTTTTTGCTTACCCTAGCTTTAGGACTAAGCCAATCCTGTGTATTCATTCTCCCTCTAGATCTTTCTCCCTCTGTCTCTTGTGCGCACTGACCAAGTTCGGAATAACGTGTATGTTGAATAAATAATTAAAATACTTAGTTTTGACGCGTTTCAGTGTGCCCAGCATGTTATACTGCCAGTATCAGTCTACTGTCAGTCTTCATTAGATGAGTGTTACAGTAAACCAACATGCTAGCGCAGATAGGACAAGGAAGGAGCTGCCTTCTAGGATAGTTCTTGGAAACACTGCACTGTTTTTCCTAGGGAGAAACAAATGAAGGAGGAAAGAGAGATTAATTGTATGGCCAGGTGGCAAATGCGTTACTTGTAGCAATTCTCTGTCTTCCATGTTTGAAATCAAAATTGTAAGTTAAAAGTGTTTTCTTCAGCAGTGTTAGTATTTTAGCACTGGCTTCCATTCTTCCTCACAGCCTTTAATAGAATAAGCTTAAAGTCCTATGGTTTCTACTTCAATGTGTTTCTCAAGTTTCCAATTTATACCACAGGTTTTTTTTTGGAGACTGTATCTGAGAATATTCTGTTCTGGTTCTTTGTTATATGATGAGAATATTTTCACATAAATCTCTAGTGTCTTAATAAAAAGTTAATCAAGTTACATTTTGTTTATATGAAAATGTTGATCCTTTGTGTTTGCCCACTTGTATATGGCTGTCTACAGATGGATTTAGGGTCTTGGACTTGGCTGACAGAAGTGGGATGTTGCTTGGGAGCACAAGGTTGAAATTAAGTGAGTGTAAGTTAAACTAACTATCAAGCAAAGAGCACACCAACAATGTGTGTCACTGACAGTGACACCTCTAAGGCTGTTGTACAGTCTTCCAAAGAAAGCAGTAGATGATTCACCATTTCAGACATTTCAATCCAATCTAGAAAGCTGTAGTAAATATATTGTAGAGAACATTCCTGCACTGGCAGGGGGGTAGACTAAATGAGCTATTACCAGTAGCTCTTTTCCATGTCTGACTGATAGTTGGCTAGGAACACATTTAGCGTAGTCGCCAATTTTTGTTCTTTTTTTTTTCACTTGGAGAGCACTAGTGACATTGGCAGAAGAATGCTTCCTGTGTTTGAGAAAGGGTTGTGTGGCAGGGTTGTCCCAAAAGCGGGCTATTTTCAGAGGAGGCACAGACACTGATAGCCTTAATCCTTTCCTAAAGCTTTTTTGAGAAAGGGTTTCATAGGATCTGACTCATGTGAGAGGGTGTGGTGGTCTTGGACATATCTGTGAATTAGCTGCTACACATATTTTCTGGTCTTTTAAATTTAAAGTCAAATGATTCTGGATATATTAATAGTGCTATTTTTTGTTTTAGCATGTATGATTCATAGCTTTTTGATTTTTCTTGGAATTTTTTCTTCCCTTCCCTTATAACCACTGTCCTTCTGGGTAGAAAGAGAATTTTTACAGAATGATTATGAGAGTGAAGTAGTCAGTTTCTCTGTCTGTGTCTGCTGCACTGTCCTATAAAAACATCTGGTGACAGTACAAATGAGAGAGACGGTGAGTTGCATTTAACTTAGTTTTTCTGATATTTTTGTGCAAGACTTTTTCCTTTTTTTTTTTTTTTTTTTTTCAAATTTTTTTTTTTTTTTTTTTTTTTTTTTTTTTTTTTTTTTACTCTTCAGTGGCAGCAACAGTGATAGTATTGACAATTTAAATACTATGTAATTTCATCCTAATCAGGGCATCTGTAGATGATATAACAGGTAGCAAGCTGTTGTGTGCTGTGCTGGTAACAGTGAAGAAGCTGGGTGTGGGGAGCTGGAGAGGTATGCAGCACCCAGGAGACTTCTCTGCTTCCCCTTGATTATAGAGGGATGTTAATACACACCTTACAGTTTCTGTAAGTGTCAAAGCATTGACACTTTGTCATAAGTTTCTGACAAAAATGTACTTGTCTTTCAAAACTGGAAGTGCTGATTTTGGTCCCCCCAAAATGTAAACAATGTTTAAAATTTGAAACTCTTTCAAAAAAGGCAATAATTTTTCCCCTGTTAATCTGATAAAAAGGCAACGGAAAACAGATTAAAGGGCAAGGAAACATTGAAGGGGAACACCAGATCAAAGACTGCATACAGAATTATCCTCCATGGCTTATTTTCCTCTTGAGAGACAGGTCTTAATGTGTGCATTGCAGTTTGCTGCTGCTCTTTGGTTCTACTAAAACTTTACTTACGGTGAAGCTGCAAAATAAAAACCTGGCTGGCTCTAAATTTCCTCTCTTCTCTTTACCTTTCCCCCAAAAAAACCCCCCACCATCTGATGCCCAGGGACTCCAGAAAGCCTCGCTGAGAAAGAAAGGCAGCTCATGGGTATGATCAATCAGCTGACCAGTTTGCGAGAACAGCTGCTAGCAGCTCATGATGAACAGAAGAAACTGGCTGCATCACAAATTGAGAAACAACGCCAACAAATGGAGCTGGCTAAGCAGCAACAGGAACAGGTGAGTGATTATTATTGTGGCTTTCAGTTAAATAATTTTCTAGGAGGACTTTCCAGTAGCTTATCTTTTAGAGTTGATACTTCTGAAGTTTGCTCTCCACCCGGAATTTCTTTCCATTTGTTTTCTCAGGTGAAGAAGTTTGAACAAAAATATGTTGGAAGAATGCTTTAATTTGCAATATACAAAATAGTGATCTTTGTCTTTTAAAGATACACCTTCCGGTTTGGAGGTACTCTCTCCCAGTAGTGCTTTTTTCTTTCTTTTTTTTTTTTTTTTTTTTTTTTTTAATAAGCATATGAATTCAGCCCTCCTGGATAATCTTCCAATGCTGCTTGAATTGAGTGGTGCTGAATAGGTATAAAAGGAACAAAAAGCGGCATTTGGATTGTAATATGACAAATTAAGGGGTTGGTTTTGCCAACTGTGCAAAAAAGTGGGGGAGAAGAATATAAGGTCAGTGAACAAATGTGACTTTTTTTCTTCTACATTTGAGAGGCTTGATTTTCAGCTCTCGCAAATATGCCCTCCACTGAAAATGCAAACGTGTTTTCACATCTGAAAAGTTCCAGTGTGCATACATGGACACATGACATTTTATGCAAGAACATAACTTCTCTAACAAATTTGCGCCGTGCAAATTTTAACAGAAATGAATGTCCGTTTTTGTCCCTGAACATGAGCAGAGACTATGTAGACATCTGGTTTAAAATTTTGTCAGGAGTCCATAATGATACTTCTTATCTGAAAGTGTTTTAGTCTACCTGACCATTTATTTCAGCTTGTAATGAAATTTGAGGTTATGTCATAGAATTGCAGCTATGTAACTTTTATGGAACTCACAAAATTCTTTGAAATCTGTCATAGTTGTCATATTTCAATGTTTCTATTGTACCAAGCAAGTCTTAAGATTCTAAACCACTGCTGACATCTTCGGACATTTTAGCCTTGGTTTCCCCTGTTTTTGATTATTTAAAAACCTTATATTAAATACTTTGTATTTTGGCATCACACCTGAAATACCACATAGGGAGAACAGGAGAAGTAATTTACCTGTTAAAACAGAGAATTTGCATCACAATGTTGTTTACATAGAGAAGGTAGATAAAAGCCTGAAGGTAGAATTGGCAAGATTCTTCCACAAGGAGACATCCTGCAGGAGCTATTTCCTTTGCCCTACCTTTTAAAGTCACTACTGCGACGGGATGGCTGAATAGTTTGAAAGTGAAAAAGAAAATGGAGAGAATGGAAAAAAAGCAATAAGAAATCCTGCAGGATTATTATTAGGATAACAAAGATTTCTCTTAGTTTAAGAATTTGTTTATAATTCTGTGCTATATAGAAATTAAAATAACCAAACTTTCAGAAAAATTTATTGATAAAAATTATTTGGGTTGCTTGAAGAGAGGGTCTAGAAAGAAAACGTTTAATCTTTTAGATGTGGAGTTAACTATGAGTGAGTGTTTCTTATGCTGGTAGTTTAGTAATGGAAATGAAAGAAAATACCTAAGGGGAAGAATGCACAAAATTCTTCCTAGTAAGTATGTGTAAGTTCCCATCTGACCCTGAGATGTGTACACATACCACAGAGGAAGAGCAATACTCCTCCTAATGTTTGTTCTGCTGTGCTAGCTATTCATGAGAGCAGAGCTTTTGCAACGACTCAAATAAAAGTTTCTCAAGTTTGCTTTTTAATTTTGAGATATATAAGGGTTTATCTCCATCAGTCCTCTGAGAACTCTAATTTGGTTCTGTTACTGTCTGCTTTTTCCTTCACTGTGTGTAGAATGTGTCTCCAGTAAGGTTCCAAATCATTTAGTCAGTGGAGAGGGAGGATGGAAGTCCTTATGGAAAACACACATGACTTTGAGAGGAGACTTAACACTACTCCATGAACTTCTGTAAATCAGTTTCAGTGTTGAGCTGTGTAGCTTTCCACTGCCCCCTTAGTTCTTTTCAGCTGGTACACACCTTGAAGAGTCAGTGATTTTCCCAAACCCAGTAGCAGTCTCTTTTTGTCTGTTTATGCATCAAGGGAATACGCACGCTAATACCCTCCTCCTGGGTGTCAGATTTCCTTTCTTTGGAATTTTTGTATAGGTGGTGCCAAACATAGAAAGAATATTACTGTCCATCCTACTTTTTTTTTTGCCTTTCCTGCCTTCTCCTACTATTTTCCAAGTTGTCTGCCAGTATTGTTCTTCCTCCAGCAAGTTGGAGCAAATGAGCGTTCACATTTTGGGGATTTTAGCACTGCCATCTCAGATAATGAGAGTGGAGAGATTTTTGCATCAGTCTTTCTTGTAATATCCAGCACAGCATTTTCCATAAGATTCCCTTTCGCATTAGTATTAAGTATGAATTGCTCCTGAACATAAGCCCTTTGCTTCAGGCTGTTGCCACTTGCACTTGAAGGTCTCTTAGCTTAATAGAGCAGTTTAGAGAAGTGAGCAGAGTGGAAGCTTCCTATGTACAGACTCCAGGAATGATGATACATATCTCACATTTCTTCTGTGCAATTTCTCCACAGATTGCAAGACAACAGCAGCAGCTCCTGCAACAGCAACACAAAATTAACCTTCTTCAGCAACAGATCCAGGTCAGAGACTGCGTCTCCACCCATGCCCCTGTTATCTGTCCTCTCTCCTTTCTGTTTCCCCATACTTTCCCTCAGCCATTGTTGTCATAGTTTCTTTAAGAATCTCTGCAGATGGCTTACGTCTCACTTATGGAAACGCATGAGGATGTTACCTGTCATTAAGCCAGAATGGCCAGTTTCTGGAAGGCTTTGTATGATTAACACAGCTCCTACAAGATCAGGAACCAGATGTGAGAGGAGCTGGTCAGGGGTTTGCAGGACCATATGCTCTTTCAGCTGTGGATCAGGAGTGGCAAAAATGTTTGCCAGAAAGAGTTGGATTGCAATGGATCTCCTACAACTATTTTTGAGGTTTTGCAGAAGCAGTTTTCTTCGGTGATCACTAAGCAAGTGCCCCTCCTTCCCTTTGCCCCAGTCTGGAAATTTTCAGTACTTTGGGTGAAGTATTGTCTGAATAAGAAACCGCTCAAAAGGTTGGTTAGATTCAGGAGAACAGCTATGTAGGTCCTAGGTATCTTCAGGTTTACTCCTAGTAGAAAAAACAGGTTTGTTCCTAGTAATAGAAAAAAGTTGTTAACCCAGCATTCCCAGTAGACTTTATTTCACCTCTTTTTTTCCTTAAAGTATTCAGAAGTTTCTTTTCACACCATTGACTGTATTTCATTACTCTTCTTCCGTGTGTATGTATGCATGCCTGTGTTTTGGGAATAATGCAACTCAGTTTGCCCATGAAGATTTTCACAGAATAACAAAGGAGGAGTTTGACATTTCACAGATATCCAGAATCATGATAAAATCTCTGGTAGGTTAAGTATGCAATTATGTGTAGAGCATTGCAAGTCACTGTGGAAGTGGATGCTATGTTCTGTTTGATCAGTAACAACATGCTTCCTATGCTTCTCTAATGTTTCAGAATTAGTTGCCTAAAATTATGGGCTATATCCATAACTGGTCAAAGAAAACTTAATTCCAGCAAAATCAGAGGAGTTGGATGGCTTCACACTAGAAGAAAAACTGTCTCTGTCATTTCAAAGGATATTCTGTCAGTATCAGGACTATGAAAAACTTCTGGGGAAGGTTCACCCCTCTGTTATAAGGCAACTTATATACGAGATGTATTTGCCGAAAATAATTTTGAGATTGGTAAAGCCTGGGTTGGCCTTGACCTCTGTATTTGTTTTTCTTCTTTAAATTTGTGCATGGGGAGGGATTTTTCTTTATTGCTGTATCTTTAATAAGACTTTAAAAGGAAAACAATAGTAGAGTCTCTACAATAGCAAGGAAGGTATTTACATTTTTAGCATTTAGCTATGGTGGTGAGAGAGGAAGTTGTTTTATAAGCAGTGAATAAAAATAAATTGAAGTAACATAATTTGACCCCAACCCTTTTAAGTTTTAAGGCCTTGTAAAGAAGAATGAACTATGTAATTTTTAGGGTAGTGGAGAACACTGATTATTGATAATGAGATATAGAGCCTTTCATCTTGTGATCCCTGGTCCAAGTTTGACCTAAGTCAGTAGTAAATGAAAGTCAGCTAGCTACCATCTGATACAAGCTGCAAGCTTAAGAAGTTATTTGGAGGCCTGTCTCAAGGGATTTTGGATGAAATATTGACCCTGCCAAGGTCAGAATTTCACCTCCAGGGTCCGCTTCACACAAAACCCATCAGATTTGGGGCACCCTCCTTTTGGATGGTCACATGATAAAGGTCAAGAACTGAACAGGCAGAGACAATACTGTCCTCTCATTCCCACAGAGACGACCTATTTGTAGTGAAATTTTGATTATACTGCTTGCCTCTTGACAGTTCCCTGGTCTGTATGGTCATGTAGTCTCATGACTGCATGGTTGCAGTCCAATTACTGTGTCACTGTAGTCACCGATAGGAAAAAAACATTTAAAAATTTAAAAAAAATCGCAATGAATGCAAAGCAAAACATTTCTTCTCGGTTGCATGCTTAGTTGACTGTTGTCAGAGAGAAGAAACAATTCCTGAAGAGATCTGTCTTTGTATATAAATGGAGACAATGAAGCCACCCTAACATGCCCGTGTTTAAAACGGTCTATGAGTTTACAGTCAGGTTATGGTAGGTGGAACAAAACTGTGACATGAATGTAGCTGTGAGTTCAGCTTTTCTGACCTTGTCCTAATTAATCTACCAGGCTCCTGTCACATTGGCCCGGAGCTTTTAAATAGCATTAGATTTATTGACAGGGAAATATTCCTACAAAGTCTGGATAACTATTTGACTTATGTGCAATTGAATGATTAGGCTGCAGTTATGAACACAACCTATTTATGACAAAGGATTCGTTTTACTTGAGCCAATTTTTTCTAAGCTTGTAAGAGTTGCCATAATTCCAGATAAATTATTACACAGAAAAAAGCTATTGAAATATTGTATTGAAAACATAATACCCTAAGGTTAAAAAAAAAGCGCAACCTGACTGACCCCGTGATTTATGACTCCTTTCTCTAAGTGCGCTAACTTGGAAACAGTTCCCTCTCTCCTTGCCCCAGCATACAATCACCGATACACACACAATACACAAGCAGGGAGAAACTGCAACTTGTCTCTTCCTCCTTAGAGGAGTGCAAATGCTGGGTGTAACTATAGCTCAATTAAACTAGCTACTTCTGTGATGCTGAAGAAAGATACGATAGCTACTTGAGCTTTGAAAAAGGTACCTGACATGTGAGTCTCTGATTGACATTATGTCTTTTTCAAGTCCATCTCTTCTGAATTAACTAGGAGGAGGTTTCACTAATGCTTATCTTCATATAGAGATTTAAGTAAAGAGGTAATGCTAAACTGGAGAAAAGTTGCAGATTAGATTAAATTTAAGAAACCATATGACTTCAAAATGCTAATATATGGTCTGTACAGGATTTTGTGTTGTGGGAAATTGTTATAATATTTTTTTTCAGCTTTTGAGGCTGTTCTAGAGCTAATGTATGAAGAGGTTTGAGTTTCTCTGAATAATTAACAGAACCTCCCTCCATCTTATTTTATGCCACTTTGGAATGCATCCTCCCATGCACTCTGCTTTCTGTTCTATTTAATCTTCCTGTGTATGTGTATGGAAAAGGTTTTTGCTTTAACAGTTAGTGCCTGCTGAGTATTCGAGGTTTTCTCCCCTGCACACTTCAGTCTTGCTATTTTGCCAGAAATTAAACTGGAATGCCTGTTCTGTCCTGTTAACTCTTGTGCATCAGAAGCCCTGAAGATCTCAGGTTGTGTTTCAGGACAGCTCCGTGGCAATCTGCAGCTGTAGAACAGGCTCAGAAAAGAGCATGCAGACACCACGTATAGCTTAGCAAGTTCTTGGACTAAATCTAGTTTTGTCCTTCAAGGCCTCAGGGGAGCTGTCATGGTGACCTCCTCATCTTCTTTTGTGCGGCCACAATCCGCTTTCTGGTGTCCTTGCTTTAGAGCATGGTGAACTCCAGGGCTCTGTAGCTGTCCCATTAGGTGGGCAGTGAGTGAAAGCAACTTGAAGGCTAGATGCTTCTTTTTCATGATGCTGAGAATGTCCCCTGTACAGGCAATGAATGTGCGTGATGGTGTACCTTGAGGGGTGCCTCTGAGATGCAAAGTTTTGTGGGATGGTGAGGTTTACACTTCCCACTTGCTCAGAGATAAAGTAGCCCAGGTTGACGAATGAATAGTTTGAAGTTCAGTGATGAATGTCACTTTATTTGAACTACATTTAAAATGAAATATGGTTGTTAAAATTCATAAAGCAATTCATATTCAGTAGGGCACTGTTGATAAAATAGGTCAGCCTTGCAGCCTAAATTGTGATAAAACTGATGCTCACAATTTTGTAGAAACCTTGACAATGTTTTATGTTTTTCCTTCAAGCCCCAGCTCTTGGAGTCATGTGATGACAAAAATGCCAGCTTTCATTTCTTTAAAATGTAAACTTCCAGCTCTTGTATTTCCAAGCAAAATCTGAAACCATGAGCACTACAAGTTCCAAAATTAGAAGGCAAACAAAACTGAGGCCAAATGTTTTTTAAACTGTTCTGATTTTTAGTCAAATTTTTTTTTTTTTGGAGAGCCCAGCTCAAGATCTTGAAACACTTCAGGTTGCCAATAATGTAAAACTAAGATCTCAAAGCAGCAAGAAGCAATCATCAGTGCTTTATGATGTCTCTAACATTTGGGCCACAGTTTTGTTAGTTGTTAGTTTAATACTGCCAGTATTTGGTTACTGATTTGTATTTGTTTCTGGGTAACATACTTAGCCCAAGAACTGAGTGCTATCTGAAACCTGAGAGCAATTCCTGCCAGACAGCAGCCCTTTGATGACTCTGTGTGTTTTAACAGAGGGTTTTCTTTTTCCTTCAGAGCTACAGACTTGTCAGCAGTTGTTCTAAGGTGACACCTTTTCTGTTGGAAAGTTTGGATCTCTGAAGAACAAGAGGAACCTGACTGCATTCTGATGCAAAGCTAGAAAGGCATGCCTCTAGGTTGTGACTTCTGCCTGGTGCCTGGCCGGGTGGTGTAGGCAGCTCCAGAGCTTGGTGGCACCTGGCAGGTGTGCCAGGAGGGCCTGCTCCCAAGTGAAAAGCTTACTGTGGCCTCGATGGCCTCAAGCTTGCCGACCCTTAGCAGCTTGTCTGGCAGGGAGTGTGGGGACCATGGCTCTCCAGACCCATAACCCTTTGGGTTGCAGGTTTCCTGGCTTTTCTGAATCCCTCAGCTGCCCTGCGTGTCCTGGTTCTAAATAAGGCTTCCCTTTGTGTGTCTGGATCCAGATTTCCATCCTCCCCACCCACTGTCAGCTGGCTGTGTCCCTTCCCCCATGAGCTGTGTTGGTAGATGGAGAGGCCTGCCTATGCTGCTGTGGTCCCAAATCAGAATATTCCCATTCTCATTAAATTCTGATGTTTAAGACATTGTTCCAGTTTGGAATGTAATAAAATCTTGAACACTTGGAATTTCCTGCAGGATGGTTAGCCCCTTTTGTAGCCAGATCCATTTTTCAAAATCTGGTTATATTT